GCCCTTGGGGGTGAACCTGTTGTGCCCCTCTGGCAAGATTTTCTGATCCTGCACTAGCTGGGTGGTTCTATCCTCTACACTCTCTGCAGGTATTGCAGCTGCAGTGTTTCACCCCATGCCTGTATGCCAGGCCTGAGCTGAGCCTGGAGGGGACAAGGTGGAGTAGGGGAGAGAGGCAGCTCTTCCACACACTCACTGGGCCTGGGCCAGGACTGGATCTGGGGGTTTCCGGAAAGCAGCAGAAATTCCTACTCTGTGTGCAGGGTGTGTGGGGGGTACTATTGATTGATGGACGGCATCCCAAGGTTGTGGAAGAGGGTTTCACCCATGCTGCGGCTGGGCTGAGACCAGTAGTAGGTCCTGCTGGCATAGGGTAGCCGGAAGCTCTCCCACACACTCACCGGGCCTGGGCTAGGACTGGGTCTGGGGGTTCCCGGAATGCGGCATAAATTCCTACTCGGCAGGCAGGGTAGGGGAGGTGCTACAGAGTGGTGGGGGGTGTCCCAAGGGGGTGGAAGAGGGTCTCACCCACGCTGCACCTGGGATGGGACCAGTAGGTCCCACCAGCGCAGTGTAGCCGGAAGCTCTCTCACTGACTCACTGGGCCTGGGCTAGGACTGGGTCTGGGGGTTCCCGGAAAGCGGCTGCTCTTAATTCTTTTTTACTGAATGCGTAGAAGCTTAGATTTAAGATGTAGTGGGGTTCTGTGGTGGTGCGATGTTAACAGCTGAATCTGTAGTTCAGTATGTATATTTAGATTAACTCTGAGTGCACAATCTATTCCTGGAGGGCCTGACACTAGTGCCTGGCTTGCTGGGCTTGCCTACCAGAGGTGCAAGGTGACTCAGCAGTGCGGAGCAGCAGCCACCAGCCTTCATTTCCATCCACTCGAGGATGCACTTTGAGAGCGACTTACCGCTTCACACCTCCTGTTGTTCAGCCCACCACAGTTCAGATCTGTGCTGTAATCCCCAGATGTTGAGGGTTTAACGATGACTGTGAAAGGTAGCTCTGGATCAGCCCTGTTCAATGCAAACATACAAAGTGTATATGTGAAACTGAATTTCCTAGAATTCATAATACAAAAGTCAAAAGAAATAGATAACACTTATTCAAATAGTGTACTTAGCCCAGTTTATCCACTTATCCAAATTACTGCCATTTTAATGTGTAGTCAGTGTAAAAGTCTTGATGAAATTTTTACATTCTTATGCCCCACTAAGCCTTTGTCTCTCGGTGTGTGCTCTGTACCTCAGCATGTCACAGCTTGTGCTGGCCGCATCACTAGAACTCCTACTTAGGAAAGCTCAGAATTAGGGTTTCCCTCCAGGGAGACTCCTTCCCTCAAAACATGCTGCTTTCATACATTTGTGGAACTCGTGTGATGAGTACAGTACACACCACACACGTAAAAACATTGCCACGATCAAAGCCATAGGTCTGTCACCTGCAAAACTTTTCTTCTTTACTTACTATTACCAGTATTTTGGTAAGAACACTTCACACAAGATCTGTCCCCTTAACATTTTTAATTATGTATTGCAGTATTATTAGGTATAGATACTATGTTGTGTGGTGTATCACTAGAACTTATCTTGCAAAGCTGTGCACTTACCTCTTTCTCATTCCACCACCCCTCCAGCTCCTAGCAACCACTGCTTCTGTGAATTTGAATATTTCAGAATATAGATGAGGTCACACGGTGTTTGTCTTATTTCCATTTCCGAGTATGGAATCGGAGGAACTGAAGTCAGTATTTTGAAGTGAGATCCGCCCTCCTGTGTTCACTGTAGCTAACACAAGGAAACACCTAAATGCCCACAGACAAATGAATGAATAGGTGACACTGACTTTACTGTTTTCTATTTCTCTTAACATGATGACATATGATATGTAGTCCAAGGAAGTCTATTAGGAGATGGTTATTAGAATTTGGAAATTCCCATGAAGTTAATTTTCAGCAAATTGTAAGCCCTGGAACTTAGTTCTTTGGACACACTCATAAAGTGAACAGTGTTAAAACTGAATTTTAATGAATAATCTGATTTGTAAGTGAGTAAAGATTGAATAAATAAATAAATGTTGTAGATCAGTTGGGATACGTCTGTGACTTAGAGAATAGTGGCTATTTAATTCAGTGCCTTCAGAAGATAAGAACTATTCCCTGAAGTGTTGGATCTCTCTCTTTCTCTCTCTCTCTCTCTCTCTCTCTCTCTCTCTCTCTCTCTCCTCTTGTTTTGTTTTAAATTGGTTATAAATAAATACTATATCCTTAAAAATCTATGAAATCACATGTTAAGATGCATGTAAGAATGAAGGTCTCTGTAATGTCCTGAAATTAGAATCTTTTGAAGACTTTCACCCTGAATGTGATCTGTTCATTCACCAGTCTCCTGTTTCAGAGTGGACTCATTCAATATGCGCTTGAAATCATTTGAAGCGACTAAAGGGTTTTGAATGATGATCACTTCAGAAATATTGGCATTTTGCGAATACATATTTTCTCCTATATCTCTGTAGGTGTTTGAAGTCTTCAAGTGCTGCTATGATCAGAGGAAAACATTTCCTGTGAAATAGTTGTCTTGGTTAGTTCAGTGATTTGGGGCTTGCTGTTGGCACAGATCCACTCTTCCAAAGCTTGTTTTCTGTGTGTTTTAGGCCAAGGCCTGGGGCTTGCAGGATATGTTTTCAGCTTAGAATGTGTAAATATAAAATTAACTTAGCTTTAATAAAATATGCTTCAAAGTTAATAAAAATGTAGTAGCTCTAAAAGTATGTTCATAAAGTTCAGTTCCTTGTCTCTCTGTTCATCAGTGACCCTGCCTCTGCTCTGACCCATTGTCTGGCTGCAGGCATTATACATGTTGGATGAATGCTGGGGGGGTGGGGCTTAAGCTTTCTCTTTGAATTAGTACATTAGTAATTGCAGGTAGGTATTTACCTCAAATACTAAAGGTTTGATGTCAAAAGGAGTTGCATGATCAGAGGGCTAGTATTTATTGAACACTTCTTGTGTGCTTGGAACTATACTGAATGATGTTCATGAATTTTCTTTTTATGCCATCCCTGTGAATATTTTAAAAGCATCTGTGTTTCACACACATGGAAACTGATGTCTAAGGAGCAATGTCACTTAGTCCTGTAAGTCTTGGCCACAAAATCAGGACAAACACTGGCCTGGATTCACAGTCCATGCTTTCGCTATCATGTTCCTTTTGAAACAGCATAGGATGTTCAGTTTGCACCCAATGTAGAGGGAAAACTTCCAGGTGAAAGCATATAATGACAAGAAATTCTCATGATGCCTCAGTTCTAGTCATTTTCCAGCTGCTGCAAGCAGTAATTGCTGCCCAAAGTCCCCACTAAGAAGGTCTAGTGAAAAGGCATTTGTATATTAAACACTTCATTGGAATCTGATTTGCAGTATGATCTAAATGCAGCATGTAGGATTATTAAAAACCAAACAAGACAATCCCATCTAGCTTAGATTTTTCATATTTGGGGAAATCAATCAGTATTTGGAGATATAAAAAAAGGATTAGAAGTCAGCTTTATAACCTGGTTTCTAATCTAACAAACCGCTTAATGTTTCCCCAGCTCTTTGTTATGACATCATGTAAGTGGATGAAATTAGAATTTTGTAGTAGTCAAACTCTTGGAGGAAGGGACTTGCTTTAGGAAAATGCACATGCCCAGTTTTCCTTTCCAGTTAGCACTTTCATGGTCCCCTAAAGTCTAATCTTTCATTAGAACTCCTAAATTACCGAACTTATTGTATTTATTTTTGAACTTTATGAAGGGCAGAATTCTTTAGCTATGTTGTATTAAGGTCCTGTATAGATGTAATCTGTTGCTATGTGGATAATGAACTTTTGATGAATCAATGATATTTAAATCCCTTTTTCTCAGTACCCTATGGTATATTTTGCTCAGTAGCCTATGATATGTACCCTATGACATAGCTTGACTGATTTGACCAGAATTTCTAAAGAAGTGGCTTTGGAGTTGATAAATGAGGAGGTGGCCTTAGAATTGTCTCTTGTCTACCACCAGCTAATTTGGAGATTATCTGCACTTCCTGGGCCTCAGTTTCCCCCTTCTACATAAAGAATAAAGAGTGGTTACTTGTGATTGTATAGCATTTTAATGAAATAATGGGTGGTGATCCTATAGGTAAACTGACTAATAAGTGGGGCTTAGTCTGAATGCTCATGATCTTTTTTGCTTGTTGCTTAAATACTCAAGTCATATCCAGCAGCCTGAAGGTTCTGAAGAGGCTCATTTTTCTTTGGGAAATCAATGAAACTTGAGTGCAGCTGATGCAAAAGCTTGTCAGGACTCTGGAAACCTCTTCATGTATATAGTGATGGGAAGCCATAGGACCTGGAGAAGCAACTAGAGAAAGGGGGACCAACTGGAAAATTGCTATTGCTAGGAGAGGAAATTGGGCTTAAACATTTGGAAAATCAGAGGAATTTTTATTTATTTATTTTGGACTTGTGTTTTTCCAATAACTGAATGAATGATAAAATCTTTTCATGAAAGAACACTTGAATTCATCACTGATTAGATGATCTAATCAGTGTTAACATATCACACTATCAGAATATGTCAATTAAAGTATACATAGCAAGCATTTAAGGATATTCATTTGTGAACTCTTTATTTTTGTGTTATAGAGGAGCACAAAAAACTTTTGTGAGATGTATGAATCATTTTTGCATTAGCAAATCCAGTGATTTCTATGGCTCTGGAAATACTAGGATGACTTGTTCTCTACTTCTGTTATCTTCTCTTAAAGGGCTTTGTCTGATGTCTTACTTAGGTTTGGAAGAATTAAATCTGTTGTTCTCTTTTTGAAGCTTAATTTTAATTTCCTTTCTTATATCATTATAATCTATGCATATGTGAAGTCATTTATAAGTCATTTATAAAACCCTAATCCTTTTAATATCTAGTAAATAATTAATCTATTTTGTTCTTCTTTTACTTCCAGATAGAAGAATTTCGAAGGCTGAGGACACATGTTAAAGGGGCAGAGCTCGTGGAAGGCTGTGACGGGATCCTGGGAGACAATTTTCGGCCCACTCAGCCACTGAGTGACAGAGTCATTAGAGCTGCATTTCAATAGCCATGGAGAGCTGGAACAAGACCGTCTTTACTGGGGTATGCATAGATAAAATAAGGGAAACAAGGTACACAGGTACCTATGTTGGGCATCCTTATGCTACTTTGATGGTCAAACTGCTAATTTCCCAATAAAAGAATTATGGCTTGTTTCAAAAAAAGTTTATGGCACATTCATAAATCCCATTAATCACAGGTCAAGTAGTTACTTTAACTTTGTATAGTGTTTAAAATATCTTTATTATATTTTCCCTCTAGAGCACTCTTTTAAGTGTAAGTTTTGCTGTAATGTTGGACTGAGCAGTTACAGACAGACTCTGGCCCCAAGGAGAGCACAGTCCCATGATTAAGACACAGGGATGTTCAAGGACTCTAGCCATTTACCATGTTGCCCCATGAGGCTGCAGCAGTCACATACTGATGCCCATGGGCACAAAGGAAGAGGCTAGGAGAGTGTATGAACCTCCATGTCAAGCCTCTTGTCTAATACAGATCTGATTGTCTTGCTTATGGAGGAAGTAGGGCTGATCTGGTATGAGTTGAAATAATTGTCCCATGGAAGTGCTTTATATTTGACAGATGAAGTAGCACTTACTAATTAACTGAAGAGGCTACATTATTTTATTGATTGTAACAATATGTAGAGTTCAGTATGTTTAGTTCAATATATAGTCTTTATTCTTCAGAAACTAACAAAATAAAACATTGTAAACATAGAAAAGATCAAGTGTACAAAGAAGACTTTGTACTTAGTTACTGCTTTTCCTTGCAAGTTGTCTAAGCATGCATAGGGTAGGGTGCATTCTAGAAAAGCACTTATTGCTACAAGAAACTAGCATCTGTTGGAATGGTGCCTGAGGAAGAGACACAGGGCTTCAACTGACTGACAGATTGCTGAGACAATGGACTCCCATACTGTGTGAGTAGTACTGTGGACCAAGGAGTTACAGACAGATTCCGGCCCAAAGGAGATCACAGACTCATGAACTAGATAGTAGACTTGGGAATTTTAAAATTTGATCATTTTGACTATGTGCTTCCCAATCTACTTTTCTTGCCTGTTATTACTACACAGTGTTGTAGCCAGTCATTTACCTTCTCGGTGTTCTTTGGTTCCGTGCACTGCCCATGCTGCCTTTTGCCTATTGAATACCTTGCTGCTCGATGGCCCAGCTCAAGTACCTCTCAGCATAGAGCCTCCAATTTTCTCTTTAGTTATGACATTTCCTACATATTATTTCCTCTCTTTAGCTATTTGCTTATTCATTTTTATATCATATTCTAAAGATCTGAAGGGTTAAAGTCCTTCATTTTACTGGGAGTTCACTACAAAACTTGTTGTGCCTTGCATGTCCTTAGGTAAATTAGAAGTTTCTTAGAAGACTGCCAATTATACATAACCCAGTAGCAGTTTGATTCTTCACTCTTGTTTTCTCCATTAGCTCACACAGTTTATCCCCTCCTTCTCCTAACTTTAGAGATGATGAGGCTCAGTCTAATTCACTTTGTGAGAAGAGAATCTCACTCTAGGAGGTTGAGAAGGGAGACAATTCAAAAGTGCTTTATGCTAAACATTACAGCACATGAGATAAAGAGCTAAAATATATAAATCAAAAGTCATTACTGAGTACCATTGTGGGTGTACAGAGCTGAGGGTCTGGGTCAGTGAGCCTTCCAGTTGAATAATAAGCACTGGGAAATACACAATTGTAGATTGTAACAAATTTCATTAATGAGAAGAACAAAGGAATGTTTGGAAGGAGCTTTCAGACTGAAGGGATATCTCTATGCAAAGATGTAAGGAAGTGCTCCTTGTGGAGAAGGTGAGAATTTGATATCCTAAGGTATCTGAATGAAAGCTCCATTAATCTGCACTACAGAAATCAAAGAGGAAAGTAGAAAGTTCCAGAAATTAGAAGGTCTTGTCAACAATGTTAAGGCATCTGTTTTATTATTGGTGTATTATAAACTTATGAAGACTTTTAGTTAGTGGGGAAACTTGGTTGTGAGCGCACGTGTGTGTGTGTGTGTGTGTGTGTGTGTGTGTGTGTGTATTTAAATAGCTCATCTTAGCTGCAAATGAATAGATTGCATCACAGTGTGCTAATGTGAGACTAGAAAGACATTGGGGTACTCATATAGCTACAGAGACTCAGACCACAGCATAAAGTCAGTAGAGATGGAAGGAAAGTAATGAGCAGGAAATACAAACTGCTGGGTGAACCTAGAGATGAATTGGGAAAGGGCAGATGAAGATGGAAATGCCCTTAAAGATAACTGTTGGGGCCTAAGGCTTAAGTAACTATGGCTACAACACCTTTGAAAACTAAGGACAGAGTGTATTGGGGATGAAAAGCTAAAAGGGCTGAGTTGGAAGACATGGAGAGAGACAGACAGAGAGATAGGAACATTTTTCAGTCACAAAAGAGTCTGGGATGAAATATGGAAGTATGTAACACAGAGATTGAACATATGCATATGCAGTATATGTATTATACATTTATATGTGTATATGTGATATATATGTATATATATGAGTATATGATATATATGGGTTTGCCATTAGAATGATGGAATAACCTTCAGTGTTCATAAAATCTAACCCAAGACTGAGGAGAAGTTACCAGGACACACAGAAGGTCATAGCTCAAGTAATTCTGTACTTGACTTGTAAGGTTGGGAATCCCATCCATATTGCTGGAGTGGCAGAGCCCTTTCTCTTAACTGCTGTGTGGATAGAGATCAGAGAAGGTCCCTGTACAACATATCTAGTCAGGAAGATAGTGAAGGACACATTGCATCAGGCTGAAGGTGACTGGAAGGAAGGCACCATGCCGTAGCCACATTTGATTATTTGTTTGGGGCTTGTAGCCCGAGAGAGCGTGGGACTGGAAACAGAAGGAATAGCAGAAGTTGCCTCTATATAGTGGGAAAAGAGCAAGCAGCTGGACGGAGACCATCTTTTGGAGGAGCTCAGGTTACCAGTGAATTGTCAACATTTCAAGGGGATGAGATCCTGCACATACAGGAAACTGCCTTGTTAGGAGGACAGATACTTTCTGTGCTGGAACAGGAAGGAAGAAGGAAGTGGTTGTTTGTAGACTGAGTGTGTTCAAGACTGGCATTTATTTTTCAGTGAAGAAGGGAAGGAAGGGCCTGATAAGAGGGCAACACTGAGGAGTGAAGAGGCTTGGTGAAAGTGAACTTGTGAATTTCCCCAGTTGAAGATTCATGTTCACTCTGTGTCATTAATTCTAAATGACTAATGTTTTAATGTTTCATCCATGTCTGGCCCTAGATTAGAGTTTCCTCTGTCTACTTAAATAGGCATCACATTTGAATTTCTGTATTTTAATGAGAGAGAGAGAGAGAGAGAGAGAGAGAGAGAGAGAGAGAGAGAGACTTAAATATTGTTTGAGAGTGTATTTCTGTTACATTATCTGGAGAGTGTATTTCTATACTACATTGTCTGATAAAAATAATACATACTTTAAAAATGTAATTTAAAAAAAAGAGGATAGACTTATGTATTCTCTTTGCGGCTGAGATTACTTAGGAGGGAAATCCTCCCCACCAATTTTAGAAAATGATGCAGGAATTCATTCTAGGGTAACTCCAATTCTGATTTCATCTTTTTATGAATACATTTTTTATCCTTTTATCTTGAAATGTGTAATACAAGTTTAGTCATGGTTATACATAAAAATTTATATTGGGAAATCAGACTTATGGATGTATGCTTTTTATTTGATATTTAATAATGCCCTAAGGCAGGTAATTCAAATTTTTATTAAAGTGAAGTGGTTTGACAGCCAGACTTGGAATTTAATGCATGAATGTTTCATTTAAGCTCCTGGAACTAAAAAGGGAAAATATA